TGTGTGTTTCATGCATCTTAGTGAAGTCCTTGAAGATCCTTCTGGCGTTCCAGATGAACCTAGAGCTGAAGGAGCTTCTTCGCAAGCTCTACAAGCCGTATGTGATCATTTGCATCTGCACGGGGCTTCAGGTCACCATTTGCACTCTTTGGCTGACCTTGCACAGGCCTTTTAAAGACAAAGTGGTGCAGCCCAAATCCATTCTCCTGGAATGCAAAGAGGGTTCAAGTGTGATGTTTGGGTTAATGCTGGGTTACATAGCTTTGCTGGCGCTGATATGTTTCACATTTGCTTATAAAGGCAGGAAACTTCCGCAGAAGTATAATGAAGCAAAGTTCATCACATTTGGTATGCTCATCTACCTCATGGCCTGGGTCATTTTTATCCCAGTGCATGTCACCACCAGTGGCAAATATGTACCGGCTGTGGAGGTGGTTGTCATTCTCATTTCAAACTACGGGATCCTGAGCTGCCACTTTTTGCCAAAATGTTACATAATTATTTTCAAAAAGGAGTATAATACCAAAGATGCATTCTTGAACAATGTTTATGAATACGCCAGAAAGAGCGCTGAGAACATCAGGGGCTTGACTGGAACTGATCCACACAGTAAAACTGAGAATTCAGTCTACGTCATATCCAATCCGTCACTTGTGCCTGAGGAGAAACAAGTTTCTGTACCAAAAATAGATAATGTGCCTTAAAATAGTTGCAAGAATTTGAGATCACGAGTCAAAGCAACCATTCTGACAAAATTTTGTCTTCATTTGACATGAAACTTAAATAGACTAAATTCTGTATTTCACATACAATAATCTTTAAAAAGACCAAACTTCATGATGATCATTCTAAATCATGAATACTTTCATTTAACTGTGGAAAACAGATCAAATATGTATGTTTGTATATGTATTTGAAATTAACATGTTATTAGTTCATGATACCTAATGTTAGAAAATTCAACCTTATTCTAACATGAATCCTGTTTAATTTAGCATATCCTCCATCATCTGGAAAGAAAAAAAGTTTTTGTAAAATGTATTTATGTGTATATACTATGTATAGTTTGTATGTTTAATACAATTCATTAGTATGTAGAAACTAGCATTATAGATTCATAACTGCTGTGAAGCTATTATTGATTGGGGAGCTCAACGTAACGTTTACCCATTTCATTTAGCATACAATCATCTGGAAGAAAATGGTTTACTTTATTAAAATGAATTGTCGTGAAGCTGGAACTTTTCCTGTAAATTTACAGACATCTTCCACATCCTGTCGAGAATGAAACTGTCTTTTCTGTTTGCTCTTCTTTTTCTCTTTGGTGTGTCTCTCTTGGCTAACACATCACTGATACTATGAGAGAGACATAGTGAGAGTGCCAGAGGCTTGTGACTGGATCAAGAACAGCCCCAAACTCTCATCTCAGACAGGGAAATAGATCATGTTTCTTATGTCATGCAGAAATCTTTGTTTCCTCAATCACCAAAATGCCTAGTAATTGGCTATTGTGCAAATTACTTGGCGCTACGTCCATAAGGGTTTGTTACATTAAAAAAAGTGTTGTTGTTATGCAGTGTTAAGTTGAAGTGTTAAATTCAGTGGTCTATAATAGCTCACTTTGAATGTACATATTTTTAAAAAGTTTTTTTGAGGGGGTATTTGCATGTTCTTCTCTTTGAAGGTTTGTGTAAATGCAAAATATTTAGGTTTTATCTCTCACCCTGAGCATAATATTACAGGCTTCAGTATCAAATGTCACCCGGTGTGAGAAAGGTCTTGAAATATGAGAGATGGGTGAAATATGCAATGGCGAAGAAATGGAACTTTTGCAGCGGTTTTAAAAATGTGACAGATGATGAATCAATTCTTTATACTTGAAAGAAACGTCATCCAGTTTGACCACAAAATCAGACAGTGGGGTCATTATTTCCAGTGGCATGCAGTCTTCAGGTGTTGTTTTGTGGTATTCCCCTCTTTGAACTAGCATGTCCAGTTTTGTCACCTAAACAGACACTATTCCATTCAAAAATAATATTTACTCGGATGGTTAGATAATGTACATTGAAATTCATCCTCAAGATGTTAATAACGTTGGATGATAATGCTGCTTACATCCTCTTGTCAAATATTTGTTGAGATGATCTAAATACACAATATTCTATGTGAAATGGCACCCAGGTTTATGTAGTTATTTATACACAAGCAAATTAATTCTAAGCCTAAGTCTGTTGGTTCCATTCATACTCTGATGCTGGGTCAAGTGGCATTTCAATTCATCCCTAAGTGGTATTCAGCTCTGGGCTTTTGTGCTAGTCAGTTATGGGTTTTGCACACCAGACTCAAACAATTGATCTGATCTTGCATTGTTCACAAGAAAAAAAACTCCTGCAACAACAGTAAAATCATTGCTCATTGTCACAGTACACGTCATTGTAATTGTGTAGCACTGATATTGATCTTCACTGGAAATAGCAAAACCTGTAAATTAGGTGTTGTTCACATACCTTTTGCAGTAGTGTTCCAAGTCACATGTATGTAAACTTCCTAGTCATGCCTTTATTAGCGCACAACAACTGAAGATGAAGATCTCTGCTGAACTTAAAAGAAACAAAACAAAGCAGACAAATGACTCATTTAGTCTCCTTTCACCTGTCAACATCTTGCCAGTCACACTTGCACAATTCCCTCACTTGATAGGCTAAACCATGACAGAGTAATTCCAATATCATGAATCAAACAGCCTTGGTTTGACGTTTGTCTTCTTACCGGTGAATATTTTGAAATAGTATTTGTGGGCTTTACGCCACACAGAAATATTATATGAACGTTTATATAACACTTATAAAACAAATATGGTGTTCCAGTCACGTTATACTCTACGATAAAATTAAGACTTTTGACCTGTTCACCATTTCACATATCGTCCAACTGAAGGCACTTCGCTTAAAAATGTTTAAATGTTAAAAATGTTATGGTATTTTACCATAACACCTAATGATAGATTTTATTTGGTATTTTAATTATATAGACTATTATTTTATAATTAATCCAGTTCCATCTCCGTGTTTTAACGTTGGTACCTCTGTTTACGTGTTTATTTGGTATTCACCATTATGATTTCGCCATTCATTAGTTGGAGTTTCTGCGTTCCACTGCGCTGCATTTGAATTCATTTTTATGTAAACATACATTAGATGGACGTCTTTAACCGCTGAGCTTGAATTGGCCGTAAACAGTAGGTCAGCCGTTTAAAACGCATATCTCGAGTCCCTGCAGTTCTTGGATTTGAGGCTCTTTGTGATTTTACCCCTTAAAGGGATAGTTCAGCCAAAAATGAAAATTGTGTCATCATTTAATAACCCTCAAGAAGTTTTAAACTAGTAGTATGAGTTTCTTTCCTCGGCTGAACACAAAAGATATTTTGAAGAACGTGTGTAACCTAACAGATTCTGGTCTCTGTTGACATCCATAGTATTTCCCCCCCACTATTTTTAGTCAATGGGGACCAACAACTGTTTGGTTACCCACATTCTTCAAAATATCTTCTATGATCAACAGAAGAAAAAAGTCACACGTTTGGAACAATTTGAGGGTCAGTAAATGATTCCAATTTTATTTTTTTTGGTGAACTATCCTTTAATACCAAAGAAGTTGAACTCTTGCTAGTGTTGGCTCAAACATTTTGACATTGACAAGCACTGTTGCAAACCAGCCTTGCATAATTAAATCACAGTAAACTTATTTAAATGTGTAACAGAACATTTTATTTGTCTACATTTCACACAATATCAACATTTGTCTTTGAGGAAAGCAATGACCTCCTCTGTACTGTAGGTTTGTACCAATGATAACTTAAAACAGATGTTTTTTTTCTGATGCGAAAAAACCCCCTAACTTAGAAAACATTGTACAAACATGAGAATTTTTACAAAACTATACAATCAAATGTGCTTGATAAAGTTTAATTTTACAATCTTAATGATTTTTTTCTTTGTAAATATACTGACTTTCCATTATTATAACTCTTATTTGGATCAATCAAGCTTGTTTCAAAGAAAAATGGGTGCAAGTCATTTATGGGCAGAACATAAGGAGGAAGTAAATAATCACAACAAAAACAGAAAACCGAGAGGAACTTTCTGCCAGACAAGTTTCATGACTAAGGCAATCTCCTGCAAGTAAGTTCATTTGAAGCATTAAAAAAGGATATATCATTACAAGAATTAGAACATAAGTTTCTTACAGGAAATTTTAGCGCAAGTAGGAACCATATGAGGAAAAGCTCTTTGAATGAAGAATGTTATGAAAGACGCTTTTCTTACATTAGTATTTCACTGCACACCAAGACCATTTCACTAAAAAACATCCTCCTTCTACCCTCAATGTATATATAATATACACATTTTATTAAATCTCAACACTTTCTACCATGTGAACATTAAATAAATCAAATTAAAGCCAGTCAGTGCAAAAAGAAACACTTTCCAGGTGAGATGAGAAACAACCCAATGATATGCATACATCAACTCCATCTTGGTGATCGCATGACCACACTTAAATAATTGCATGCAATGCTTGTAACGCTTTAACAGCATTAGCAAAGCGAGGGCTTGAGAGGAAGCGGGCTGTGCACTGGTCTCTGATCAGCCGGACCCCACAGACCGCTTCCTTCTAAAAAGCACAATAAATACAGCTCTAAATCTCCCAGGTCAGCAGTTTGCTGCTAGTTAACAAAACGTCAGAATAAATAGTGTAAATAGGCTTGACATGCCCTCAGGATGCATTGTGAACAAACATGGCATGACATAAACTTGGCGTGCTGGCACACAAAGTCAGGGAATTCATTCAATGCAAATGTATCAATGCAAATACATTAGTTACTTTGTCTGGCCATGTTATTTCTGCCACGCTGAAAATACATGTTTGCATAGAAGCATTTACTTCACAAGAGAAGAGAACTGTCAGAGCTAAAGGCTGGGTGTTTGTCACACACTTCGTTTTCTGATTGAAGAGGTAGTTTCACATTTCTCAAGGGATATGGAGTAAAGTTTACTTTACAGGACACCAGTGTCAATGTCTAATAATCATAATAACATCAACAACAATAATAATAAAAGCAAGATGCTTTTTGTAAGTCTCAACAGGACTTAAACTACAGACTTCTTTGCTTTGCTCTCCTCGATCCATCTCACAGATTTTCTCTCTCGATAATGGAGTTTGGAATATGAGCAGGATGGAAATGGAAGATTTAGTGGGTTGGGTTGGGTTTGGGGGGGCAGCGGGTGCAAGTGTAATCTCTGCTGTGAGGAGTGGGTACGGGCCTCAGTGTCTTGGAGCGAGGCTGGAGCTGAGGTCCTGCTCTGCGGAGAAGGAGGGAGAGGAGACTCCAGGCAGGAAGGAGGAAGCAAGGCCTGAAGCTTGGCCAGTAGCACAGCGATACGGGTTAGAGCTGGAAGCCTTCCATCGGTCCCTCAGACTGCTGGAAAATGTACTGGCCCTGATTCTGATCCACCTGCGGAACGATGCTGGCGTCCTCCTCCTCCACGCCAAAGTAGTGCTCGATCAGGTCAAAGGCCTTCTGGTAGATCTCCTGGTTCTCGTGGCTTTGCAGGAACTCAATCTTGTCCAAGCCTGAGTGGGAACATGAGTAAAACAATTATATAAACAAATGAACAAACAGCACTGTAAACACCGTCTGCACGTATAGAAAGCATACGACAATTCTGACTATTAAAAAATATATATTTTAAAATTTGTTGATTTGCTGATGTTTTTTGTGCATGTTTATTTTTGTTTAATACTAATAAATGTTATCTTTAAAAGGGTCATATGATGCTGCTAAAAAGAACATTATTTTGTGTATTTGGTGTAATGAAATGCGTTTATGCGGTTTAAGGTTCAAAAAACACATTTTCCACATACTGTACATTATTGTTTCTCCTCTATGCCCCGCCTTTCTGAAACGCGTCCATTTTTACAAAGCTCATCGTTCTATAAAAGCGAGGTGTGCTGTGATTGGCCAGCTATCCAGTGCGTTGTGATTGGCCGAATACCTCAAGCGTGTGACGGAAATGTTACGCCCCTCACCATACTGTGATGATGCCCTGTCAGGCCGGAGCGATGATTCAAAAACATGAAAACCCATTATAAACGAGGCATTCGTTGCATCCAGTGGGGATATAATTATGGATTATAATGACTTATACTGTCTTTTTACGCGTTGTGTTGCATCGCGCCGTGTAAACATAAAACCATGTCTGCATTTGTGATCGGAGAAATGACAAACAACAAGCCCTACTCTACACTGCCCAAAAAACTCACTTTAAATATATAAAATATAAAAACTCTTTAAATATAAAAAAAACGTACTTACAGTTTGTGAGTCAGAACAGCCGGCATTGTAGTCTACTCTACCAGGATCAGGAAACAGTCCTCCATAAAATGTGCTGCACACATCTGAATATTTGGGTTGAAGTGTTCTGGAACAGTGTTGTAAATACAACTTAACCACTGATTTCTAGTCGTGTCCATTTTTGGAAGACCAAACAAAGTAGTTTCGCTTTCACAACGTAACACAGCATCACACACGGCAGCCTTGAGTGAGCGGCGGCAGCCTAGAGTGAGCAGAACACGACATGGTGGTGGCAACAACAATACTACAGCGAGAATAAAAGTTACACCTTCTTTCTTTGCGTGAACATTTGGGCGGTGTTATGCAAATCTTCCCACAGAGCGACGTAGATATGTGGGGGCGTGTTAGAACGAGCCGTTTTAGGTAGGCGTGGCTGACTCTTAACTTAACTTCTTTTATAAAGAATATCTCTTTGGATTTGAGACTTAAGTCTTTGCAACTTTACAGATCTTCTTTATGTACCAAGAGCTTGTAACACTCCGAAGAGAAAGGAAAAATTTAAATCGCATCATATGACCCCTTTAACTGTCACTCACATTTTTGAACATAGACGTGAAAGTGCACTATCCAAACTTAAATTTGTATAATTCATGAACGAAAATATTTTGTAACATGATATTGATGAACCATTCTCATGGTAATGCAATGTTTGATTTGAAAAAGGGTTTCAAAGGATGAATTTTGAGATTTAAAATTTTCAATTGACAATTTCTGATGATTTCTAAAGTGTGATAGAGAAAAAGGCAACAAAGAAGACTTTTTTTGGACAAAGGTCAGAACTCCTGTTATGATGTAGATTTTTGAGGTGCACTCTTGTCATAAATTAATCTATTACTTTTCCTACATCATTTTTTACAAAAACATTGGTAAAATATCTATTTAGGAGTCTTAGACCTTTCCAACGATATATAGTTTGTCATGATTAGATTAGGATTTAATGGTAATATAGTGAAGTAAACTTAGGCGTCCCACAGAGGGGACAGGTGACAGTTAAAGGGTTAATAGTACTATTATTATCAATAATAATATTCTTCAAAACAACCCAGACAAATCCGAAATTGTGAAAATCACATGAAAAACAAAACAGCTAAAAATACATGATTCCTGCACCTTTTAAGCAGTGAATTTTTAGTACTTGTCCAATTGTTTATGATTACTGGATAAGGATTTTCTAAAGATAGAATTGCTGACAAATGAGCAGTTTTGAACAAATATACTTAAGAGCGGACCATAACTAGAAATATTTATAATGACTGCAATGACTTTTCCAGACCTGGAAAAACCAAACATTACATTAAATGCATGAGATGATTCAAGGTATTAGGTGAGGCATGCCTACCATAAGCCTCTTCAATGAGAGCACAGTAAGGATTGATGCCTGTTCCGTTCTGTTTGGACTCCTGTTCTCCTAGTCTGAGGATGTTCTCCAAGCCATTTAGAGCCACCTGCACAATCTTGGAGTCCATCACCGTCAGCAGGTCACACATGGGCTTTATGGTGTTGAGAGATACCAAGTATCTGCATGTAAAGCACAATTATCAACTTCTGTTTTACTAAACATCCACCTAATTAGCACCCTATAATGCAGTTTTCTCTCCTAGAATGTAGGTGTATATGTGGGTTAAATGGGGGGGGGGTGTTGTGAATCAACTGAGGACTTCCTGGTGTGTCAGATAAAAATTCCACTTCAAAAGTAAATTGGATGTTTACTTTTTTTTTAACGGAATTTAAGGTATGATTATTAGTGCTAATTTTTAAAGGTTTTTATTATTGTTTAAGTGCACTTTATGTGTTTGTGTTAAAACAACATCCCTAGTATTTACATAATTTACATACAAAAAAAATATTTAAAAAAGAAAAATCACTTTAAAGATGGTTATTACTACTGATTATGATTACTATTACTGCCATCTACAGGCCAAAAATGTGTAATTTGCTTTGATCCCACTCTGTGCTTTAATGACTGTTATTAGTCTAACCAAAATCCCTGTGTAAATGATACTAAGCTCATCAAGTCTGTCTTAAAACAGATTATGGGTAAATGATAACCTAAGGCAGTATGAAGGTGGTTTAGCATGCATTATATAAGATTCTCAGAAAGTCCTTAATCAAAATAAATCCTTCTAAATTCCTAGAATAGGTAAAAACAAAGCAAAATAAGCCCACAGTGCACCTAATCTGCTCTGGCATGCCTCCCGAAGTGGCGTTGGTTATTGCCCACGCGGCCTCCTTCCTGGTGCGGAACTCAGCTTTCTGCAGTATCTCGATTAGCACTGGGAATATGTTGGCATCGATTACCGCCTGCAACAGAAAAAGCATCAAGCCATGGCTGTTCAGACACAACATATGGTATCATAACCTTATAATGTCTCCCTCAGTCTAAAGTACCTGGATTTGCGCTCTGTTCCCAGCGGTGATATTGGAGACGGTCCAGCAAGCTTCTTTTTTGATGGATTCCTTCGGACTGCTGAGTAAATGGAGCAGGCAGGGCAGAGCGGAGCAGTTCAGAATCACCTGACATACAACAGAGCATCACAACAGATCAGAAAAATGCAGACAACCTTGCATGTGATAAACGACACCTATACTACCTGGGTCTGAACATCGTCTCCTGTTACAATGTTCCCCACTGCTCTCAGTGCAGGGGACACCACCTTGTAATCACTGTGCCTGTGAATGGACACAGGCACAATTATTCTAAGTCAGTGATAAAAGACATCACATGGTTTACTGATTGAGTTAGCATGTCTGGTCCTTACATTAGCAACTCAACCAGCCTGCGGCACACGCCCGAATCAACAACTGTCTGGATTTTGTCGTTGGGTCCATCGGACAGGTATGAAAGTGCCCAGCAGGCATCTGCAAGAACATCAGGATCACTGCTGAAGAGCAATCTGGAGAGCACGCTCAGACATGGTGACACCTGTGAAGAAACAACAGTTGTTCGATCATGTTACAAGGGGAAAAACACTGGTTTACACAAAGAGTGTGTTTGTGTGAATCACTGAAATTTGATAACTATGCAATTGGAATGTGGTTTACCCCAAAACTGGTTTGCAAACTCACCTTTGCAAAGTCCGGAGGTGGATTTTTCCCTCTGCAAAGGTTGGATAGCGCCCACACTGCGTTCCGGGTGGTAGTGAGCCGGTTTGATTTCGCAAGCAACCTGCAAAGACGAGGAAAAAATATGTAATCAAACCACTAGATAGCGGTAATGGTAAAGTCTTTTATATAACAGACACACTACAGCAGAAAAATGCTGTGCATAGTGAAAAAGAAGCACACGGCTAAAGTCACAGAGCACATATCAGCAGGTTTGAGAATGGGAAACAAAAACTGTTTGTGACATCAGAATGACGTTAGGAAGTGAGATTTATTCAGCGTCAGCTGTTCTTATAAGGATAAGGCCCCTAATCATTAGACTTCTACCAACAAGATTTAAATTCCTTGAGATTTCATTAATTCGGAATCCTTGTAATGAGAAATGCCAACACATGAATACAATACATTTTTACAATACATTAGAACAGAAAAAAGTTCTTTTACGTTTTTGTAATATTTCAAATATCACTTTTTGGGTGTATTTTTGATCAAGTAAATGTAGCCTACTAGCCTAGGTGAGATTTTTTTTAAATAGGTTCAAACTTCTAACAGTGTATTTCACTTATATTTCATTTTAGTATATAGCCTAGTAGATGTTCTAACAGTGTCCAGTTTTTGGAGGGCTCTTAAAAGCATGAAACAGACTTATTCACCCTGTCTGCATTTAACATCACAACTAGTGAATACATGTAAGTGAAGGGTTTGGGACTGTGTGCGCGTTCATGCCATTTAATGTCATTTTTCCTGCAGGATATTAGATTTAGGACTCCGCAAAGATATAGGGATCTGCACTATTGAGATAACAGTTCAACAGCTTTCAACAGGTATCATAGACTTTCTGAAAAGCAGCAAATATAAACATGCAATCACAGTGTTGGGACCGGTAGAGGACACTCACTGCTGAAGAAAAGGCAAGATGCCACAGTTGAGGACGTAGTCTCTGCACTCTGCATTATCCCCAGCTATATTTCCTAATGCCCACACTGCCTGTAAAAACAGTTACACACAACTGATTACTTTCATGGTGCTATGGAGTTCTGATAAACCAGCTATTGGATGAAAGGCATGAACCAGGCTACATTCTGCAAAAGAAATCACCTGCTCTTGTACATCCTCATAGTCCGAGTTGAGTAGCTCTATAAAGATGGGCACGGCCCCTGTCTCAATGACCACCTTGGTGTGTAGGAAGGTTCCTGACGCTATGTTGGTCAGGGCCCGCGGCATATGGTCTGAGCACTGACAGGCTGACCCCCCACCCCTTCAACCTCTGCAGCAATGCTGGCAGCACTCATACGTCTATTTCCCAAACACAGCCTCTGGATATGACGCTGAGCACGTGCACTCAACTTCTTTGGTCGACCATGGCGAGGCCTGTTCTGAGTGGAACCTGTCCTGTTAAACCGCTGTATGGTCTTGGCCACCATGTTGCAAGCTCAGTTTCAGGGTCTTGGCAATCTTCTTATAGCCTACGCCATCTTTATGTAGAGCAACAATTCTTTTTTTCAGATCCTCAGAAAGTTCTTTGCCATTAGGTACCATGTTGAACTTCCAGTGACTAGCCTCAGTCCATTCCTTGTGAAGTTCACTCAAATTCTTGAATTGATTTTGCTTGACAATCCTCATAAGGCTGTGGTTCTCTCGGTTGGTTGTGCATCTTTTTCTTCCACACTTTTTCCTTCCACTCAACTTTCTGTTAACATGCTTGGATACAGCACTCTGTGAACAGCCAGCTTCTTTGGCAATGAATGTTTGTGGCTTACCCTCCTTGTGAAGGGTGTCAATGATTGTCTTCTGGACAACTGTCAGATCAGCAGTCTTCCCCACAATTGTGTAGCCTAGTGAACCAAACAGAGACCATTTTGAAGGCTCAGGAAACCTTTGCAGGTGTTTTGAGTTGATTAGCTGATTGGCATGTCACCATATTCTAATTACACGAGTTTCACAATTTGAGTTGAATTACTGAAATAAATGATTTTTTCCACGACATTCTAATTTATTGAGATGCACCTGTATATACACACACACATAGAGAAAGAGAGATAGATACAAAAATTTTATATTTTCAATAATTGCTGTTCATTTGAACTATCTATTCACCAAAGGATCCTAAAAAAATTATTAAAGTTTCTACAAAAATAAAAGTAAGCAGCACAACTGTTTTTAACACTGATAATAAGAAATTGAGAGAAATAAAATTGAGGACCAAATGAGCCTATTAGAATGAGCATATTAAAATGATTTCTGAAGGATCACGTGACAGTGAAGATAAGGGAAAATGACTGCTGAAAATTCAGCTTTTCCATCACAGGAATAAATTAAAATGTATATAGAAATAAAATATATATATTTTTTTTTTAAATCTAAAAATAGCAAACAGTTAATTTAAATTCTAATAATATTTCACAATATTAACTGTATACTGTATATTTGATTAAATAAATGCTTCCTTTGAGGGCATTATATATATATATATATATATTTTTTTTTATTATAAAAAATAATTTATTATCATATTTCTTTTAATATTTTTATTTATTATTTTATTTTTTTTTTTTTTTTTTTTATATATATATATTAACAATTTATATTAATATAATGCTAATTGATACAAAATATATACAACTATGCTAATTTTATTTTTTTAAATGCTGTATAGTCAATTCAGTATGCTTAAAATTATAACTAATAACCAAGCCCCAAGGGAAAAGTACTGACAAATATGTCTGTTCTCTGTGAACTTTACAGTCCAATCATCTGTTTGACAACAATGACAGATGGCCTGCTGCCTGAATTACTTACACCTGATACAGGTACAGTGGAGCTGATATCAGGGTCCTGAATGGGGCATTCAAGCATGGACTCATCACCAGGTGGCAGAGACACATTCCTCCTCTTGAACAGCTGCGGAGTAGGTACAACGATTTACTTTAGTAGTTACTTTTGTACACAAAACTGATATATTAAATGAACAGATCTGGTCATATAGCCCTTTAATATATACACTTTAATTCCATAAAGTATCATGAAACCTTCATGAACAAAACTGTAATTTAATTTGATTGTATAATAAGGAAGGAAAGAATGATGACAAACCTGCTCCTCCCTCTTCTGTTTACGGAGCTGTATCCCTTCCTCCTCTCTCCGTCTCCGCATTTCCTGGGGGTTCAGGGCTTTATTCTTGTAGCTCTTCATTCGATAGCTTTCTTTGCCTGGGCTTGCCATTGCGTCTTCAGATCAGAGAAAGAAATTGGTCAGATGCGCATTCTGATACTCAATTTCTGCTGTCTATTCAGCACATCAACCATAAGCCTATAGCAATACAGACAAGAACCACAATTGGTCGAGCCTGTATGCAGTTCTTCTCAATTTATGCCAAACAGCATGTGGAGACAAAAGGAATGGTTTCTCTGAAAGCAATTATGCTTGTTAATACTAGCATTTCCTGTGTAACACCTCTGAGCACTAACTGACACTTTGCATGCTGAACTTCCTTCATTATCTGGACAATGTTAGTTTTTGTTGTTCAGCTTCCTTTCATCTCAAACAAGCAGTTCAGAATTAAACATTTTAACTCAGCCACTTTTGTCTCAGTATCATACATATTATGAATAGCCTTTAGCAAGTTAGTGGATCAATAACATAGTATTAGAAACTTTTAAGCAGAGATGCTCAAACCAGCAGGCCAACGTTGTCATCATGATGACCTTAAATTTGGCCCAACGGTCTATATCATAAGACATAAAATATGAACATATAGGGAAAAAAACATTTCAGGTATATCTTCATTTCTAATGTATTTTTAATTATTTATTTGCATTATTTTTGCATTGAAATGTAGCGATTAGAAGTTCCTTTTATTAAACTTGTTAATGTACATTTTAACAGCTGGATATAATGCAACAACAGTCATTTTACTTCCTTTATTCAGTGGATTACAAAATGAGACGTTATGAAAAACGGCAGTCTGAGTCACCTTTTAGTTTCAATGTAAGGAAAAATATGCATTGAAAGTGAACTGAGGCTGTCAGTCCCAACATCTTCTATTGTCTTCCACAGAAGAAAAAAAAAAATCAACAGAGAACAACATGAAGGTGAATAAATGATTACAAAAGTGTCATTTTTAGGAGGAACTTTCACTTTAAGATGCAAAACATATGTCGACATCTTCTCTAACTTCTAATTAATCACTTTACACAAATGCAGCACTTGTAAACACTGGTGTTTTAATCGGATCAGCTGGTTGTGTGTGGAATTGTGGTTGGAGGTCTGGACTTTATTATTTTACAAAGACAGTTTATCACATACTACATAAGTAATCACAGCTCTAAATATACAAGTCTAAGCATCTATATTAATACCACGCAATTTATTTGGCTCATCAAACAACTGAATATTCTTTTCAGTAACGCATTAGCACATATTTCGTGGACAGCTGAAACCAAGACTTTCTGGGTCACAAATCAGTTTCATAAATCCACTAACGCACTGTTAATACGTTATTGGTTTATAATATCTCAAGTCATTCAGTCTTTTCACTTTCAGCCTAAACTGTGCCCAACTTCTCTGTGCTAACATGCTAACCGTGCTATGCTAGCTTGGACTAAACGTCAAGATGGTTAATTACTCTGCCAGCACGCCCTGTTGCCTCATTTACTCCCCGGAAAGAAAAGACCTTCACATCGTATATAGTGTATAAATCTCACCCATTAGTCGTAGATCGGAGAGGGGTGTACTGGCCGTGTGTTTTTAAATTTCTCTCAAGACCCTCCCGAGTTCCTCCAGCTGAGGGCAATATGGCGTTCACTGGTAAGAAACGTCACCTCCGCTGCTGTTTCCGGTTTTCATGAGCGGCCTCATTCAATAATAATAAACGGAAAGTGAAACGGGTGATTGTTTAAGTCAACATATCTACCTCTGAACAAGTACGTTGCATAAAAATGTCGATTTCGAGATAGATTCGAGTTGAATTTTTGCTGTTGTTCATGAAGTCAGTGGAAGAAGGCTTTTGATGTTATAAATGGAAGTTAGCAGCGTGACTGTCCAGTGTTGTTTGTTGACAGAGTCGATGCTTGCTGTCGCGTCAGGTGCGTCTTGATAAAATCCGGATTTCAGGTTAACGAAGGCCAAATTGCCTCAGAGTTTTGCTATTAGTTGATTATAACGTTTTAAATGCATTCCGCTCAGAGTACTTATACTAGTGGCAATTATCTGCACCTCAGTATTGTAGTACATTGTAAAACGGTATGCAATAATAACGTATTGAGTGTAAATTATAATTTTAAACACAAACGCATCCCTTTACCAAGGTAACCCATGTTTATCTGGTAATATATCGTAATTAGGGCAAACATTTTTAATTAAGGCCTGTCACGATTATGAACTTTTGGCTGTGGATTAATTCTTGTCACACAATATTTGCTATTAATGAAATATATGATTTCCTACATGGCTTTATAAACAAACGTTGTACAGGGGTAGAATTAAATGAAAAATTATCATTATTTAAAACGAATAGGTATTATTAATAATGTTTTTATAAAACTATTAACAAATGGTTACCCATATTTCTCTTTTCTCGTCCACTTTAGTCTTATTTCTTTTTTAGTGTTTGTTTCTTTATTTCATACTAATTTGTAAAAAAATTATAAATTTATTATAAAAAAAAAACATTTAATATATTATATAATCATGTCAGTTATGAATGGTTGTTATATTATTGTGCAAAAGTTATTCATTTAGAAATTTACAATTCCCTTTATGGCTTATTTAAAAACATTGCAAACGGGTAAAATCACATGGATTATAAGTATGATTAACAAATAATAATTATTTATAATATAATAAAAAAATGTGTACCATATTTTTTGGTCCACTTTTATTTATTTGGGGGGGGGGGGATTAGCTATGTATGGTTAATATTATATTACATATTATTATGTAATATATTTAGTATGTTGGTCATTAATCCTTCACTTTCTATTGTAATTTTCAGACAGTATGATTAAACCCACAACCATTCATATGTCAAAATCATTGTCAGGTCTATTATTGGTACTAAAATCAGAACAGAATATTAGATATTCTTCAAACTGTGAGAGAATAATTTTTGTCATTTAGATTTTTTTGTTGTTGTTTACTAACAATACCTGTAGTAACTATGAAATTTTTGCTGATACATTTATGGTTAATTTGTTCATTTGTTTTATCCAGGCTTGTGATAATGCCTGTGTGTGACATCTGCTGTGAAGAGCTCCTATCTGAGGCAGAGATGAGAACCCATATCCTCCTGAGTCACACAGAGAATGTGATGGCCTGCCCGTTCTGCTCTTTGTCCGGCGTCTCATATGACGAGTTGAACTTCCACATCAACACTGCACATATAGAGAAAGACTGCCAGGACACGAGTGCAACAGTGGTTGACAGTGGACAGAAAAGCTCAAATGACTGGATTGCTCAAAGTCCCAATTCTACAAGGACTTCCAATGTGAATGCGAAAAATATGGACAAGGTATCTCAAGCCTCGCCTCAGTCACCGAGTACAGGGACCTCTCTTTCTCAGGGAACCTCGACTAATCTGAAGAGTCCACCACCTGCAGCAGCCACAGCGAATGGTGCCGTAAAACTGGTCAGAACTACACAAAATTCCAGCAACAACCCAAGCAACGAGAGGGAAGATGGGCGGCGAAAATCAAAGCAGAAGCGTTTGTCCTCACCTATTAAAGGTGTTCTTGAGTTTACAACATAAAACTGACTTAAATTAGGCTTTTAGACTAATATTTTCTCTGTGTGTTGCAGAAGGGTGCTTTGCATGTCCAATGTGCAGCTTGGTCTGCAAAGACTGCTTTATTCTGCAGGAGCATGTTGAGCTTCATCTACAGGACCAAGCTGAAGGTGTCTTACCTCAAAACATAAATATCAATCTAGCAAGTATATTTGTAGGTTTACAAGTATTCATTTTACACTCTTTTTATCACCAGCTGATTATGATTGATGTCTGATATGGTTTGTCTTCTTAAGGGGCTGGTCCTGAGGTTGGCACTTCAACAGAAGTGTCTTCTACAAGCAGTGGTAGATCAGGTGAGTTAGCAAGGTGGTCGATTTGACAGTTCTGAATAAAAGTGAATGGCCAAACTGAACTATAACTGTATTTTTGGGATCTCCAGGTGTGATGCGCTACGAGTGTCCAATGTGTTCTCTGAGTTGTTCTAGTAGCTCCTCCCTTCAAGAGCATGTTGAGCTACACCTGGAATATGGCTCAGCATCTGTAACCGGTATGTGTATATTAATAAGTAAGCAACTGCATATGAATTTTATTCTAGAATTGTTGGTTAGTTACATTTTAGTTTAGAGATTAAAATATTCTGTGGGTTCTGTTTACAAGTACAATGCATCAAAATTATAATAATCAATCAACATGAAATCTGTTGTAGCCACTGGTGCAGCGATACTTGTGGTTTCTTAAAACATCTAACTTGGTGTTCATTTGATTTGGGTGTTTTGAGGACATTCATCTGAAGACCTGACTCTGGCCAGGAAGCTTCAGGAGGAAGAGCAGCAAAAGTGGAGGGAGGCTGCAACTAGACGGGAAGCAGAGGACTTTAAGAAGCTCCAGGTTAGCAAAAGAAAATGTCACTGGGAGATTTCTAGAAAATGTTCACCTAAAAAGTAAAAATTGACACTTCTACCCTTTTCAGAAGCAGTTTGGGCTTGATAACAGCGGTGGTTATCGCAAGCAGATGGAGAGGAATATGGAGAGGGCTGTGTCTCGAGGTCAGATGGTTCCTGCAGAGTTCCACAGGAAAAAAGCGGAGATGCTTGAATCTCTGGCCTCCGGGGTGGATGATGGCAGAAGCAAAACATCAGGTCTGATTAAGAGTGCATCGTAGAGCTACACCAATAATCTTTACATATTTGGTCCAGCTGGTGAATTATTAGACTGAAAACCTGTTCAGTTATTTTATCTTTTTATCTTATCAATGTTGAAAATGGATGTGCTGCTTATTATTTTGTGTAAAGAGTGATATTTTTTTATAATTAAATTATTTGATAGATAATAATAAAAATTAATAGATACTTTGTTTTTACTAGTGCTGTCAAACGATTAATCGCGATTAATCACATTTTGTTAAATGTGAGCCAAAATCATCACAATTAAAAGAACCAAAGACTTAAACTACTTCAGTCTGTGTGCACTGAATTTATTTAATACACGAGTTTCACAATTTGAGTTGATTTACTGAAATAAATTAACTTTTCCATGACATTCTAATTTATTGAGATGCACCTGTATAAACACACACAGTATATATTTAGAAAATATTTACATGTATATAAATTTATATACTTATATTTTATATTATGTGTAAATATATTTAATATATAAACAACATTTTTCTTAAATATATACATGCATGTGCTTGTATTTATATTTATTTATATATATATGAACTTTTCCATGACATTCTAATTTATTGAGATGCACCTGTAAATACATAATAAATATACACAGTACACATACATATATTACGTAAACAAAAACTTATTTTGGATGTGATTAATCGTTTGACAGAATTAGTTTTTATAGTCACTTTCAGTCAGTTGAATGTGTCCTTGCTGAATAAAGTTATTCATTTCTTTCAAAAAAAACAAAAAACTCACTGACCCAAACATTTGAACTGTAGTGCGTGTAAATATTTTCAATGAATATATACTTAATTATACTTTTTTTTAAATGAATTTAATGTATTTTATTAATTAATAATTTATAATTGTAATTAAAAATAATGCAGTATTATTATTAGGTTTTTAACTATAAAGCTGTTACTTTTTAATGTTGGAAAAAAAACGGTGGAAAATTAAAATAAAGAAAACGGGTCAAGGTTTAGACTTAATCTTTCTATTTCAGGACTTATGGGAGCTCTGTACAGGTACTATCAGAGGGATGCCTCTGACTGTGCACATGTGTGGCTCTGTGCTGAGACTGATCACTACTCTTCATCGGAGGGGGACAAAGGTTGGGGATGTGGCTACAGAAACTTCCAGATGCTTCTTTCATCTTTGCATAGGATGGAGCAGTATAACCTTTTACCTGGTATAACATCAGTAACAATGTTATTCTCTTGGCTGCATGTTGATTTTATTTGTAACAGTACCCATCATAAAATGTTCCCTCGCAGTTTCAGTTCCCAGCATTCCGAGAGTGCAAGCCTTAATTGAGGAGGCTTGGGGTCAAGGCGCTGATCCTCAGGGTGCTTCACACTTCAACCATCGACTGCAGGGGACACGGGCTTGGATAGGAGCTACAGAAATCTATGCAGTTCTCACCTCCCTTAGTGTGAAGTACGTACTGAAACCCCAAGTTTACATTCACACACTACTGTTCAAAGGTTTGGGGTCAGAAAGATAAATATATGTAAATTTTCTGCTCATCAAAGACTACTGAAAACATGTTTCGAGGCTTTCTCTAATTAAATATTAAGTAGCACAACATTGGGAACAACAAGAAGTGTTTCATGAGCACAACAGCAGCACATCAGAATGATTTGTGCTTGTGCAAATTCAGCTTTGCCATCACAGGGATAAATTACATTGTAAAAATATTAAAATAGAAAACAGTTATTTTAACTAGTAAAAAAAATTGCAATAATAATATTTTACTGTATTTTTGATCAAATAAATGTAGTCTTGGTGAGAGATTTTTTTCAAAAACATTCAAAAAAATCAAACCAACCTCAAACTTTTGAATAGTTGCAAACATGTAAATAGCTTAAATATGATTAATTTCACATCTTAACTTTACATAAAAAAAATTTAGAGCGCAAATTATGGATTTTCACAAGCCCACTGGTCCAGGAGACACACACCCCAGACTGTTTGAGTGGGTGAAACAGTATTTCTCACATTCTGCCAGTAGGGGTGCAAGACTGCCACCCAAAATAGTGCAGACGACATTACCACCTATATACCTCCAGCACCAAGGTATTTCAAGATTTCTCTTGTAAAAAAAACAACAGCCCTTTAATTAAAATAGAGTGAATGTATTCTCCCTCGTGACATTCAAGATAGCATTATCCTCATAGAAACAGACTTGCCTTTATAAGATGACATACGTGTTATCCTGTCTTTATGATCAGGCCACAGTCGCTCTATAGTAGGAGTGGAAGAGAAAGTAAATGGCAACATATGCCTGCTCCTCTTCGATCCGGGGTGTGTACCAAGGGAAATGAGGAAGGTGCTGTCACAGGATACAGCAGCTAACGTGGTACGACGTGTGCGCAAATTCCCCGGTAGCCTAAAACACAGACAGTATCAAGTGGTTGCTGTAGAAGGGCTGTTAATGCCTGAAGAGAAACAGGTAATTTTGGCTTCAGAAATTCATTGCAGGAATTCAAGTTATGTATTACATTTTGACATATCGTATGTGTAGTCTTTGTTAAACTGTTGACATATTTTTGGCATGTTTGTGTCTTTCAGAGCCGCATTCTTAATTCAAGGACACTATGTGCTGAGAAAATTCCTTGATGGAATTGTCCACATCTGCTGGCTGCAATTTTATCTACCATTCCTGCTACTTTTATCAACTAGTGCCTTTAAACAGACTGCGAAAAACTGTATTTTTGTATAAATGTCAATAAAAAATAACACAGAGTTTTATCTGACTTGCTGCACAATAAGTCAGTTATTATTACTTGTTATGATGGGAGTCTTCAGTTTTTAGATTTTGATTCATTGAACAATCAGCTCGTTTTGTTTTTAAACTACAGTTGTATGCATATGGTACAGTATCTATTGTCGGATCAGTGGTCAAGGGATGTTTGTTAGCCTTATGCATTCTGAAGAAATCTGAACCCTCAACATCCCACTCCTTTTTCCCACCCCACAGGCCAAATTCAAGTCCTTTACAGATCCTCCCCTCATTTCTGTTTTCTGAACAAATGTGTTAAAATACACCTCCTGATTTAATCAGTGCAGACAACCTACAAGTCACAGGACGGATTGGCATCTCACGGTCATTCCAGAGGAGAGAGAGAGACAGAGATGGCAGGTAAGTAAACCGCATGGTTGAACTAACCAGGAAGGCAGCACACTACAGTTTAGGACTAACCTTAACACTAACACACATCTTATGGTTAATGTACAAAAAATTACCATGGAGAACCAGAATTCTCTCACAGATTTTTTTTTCATCACAAACATCTGCTCCCACAAAAATGGCGTTTTAATCTATATGGATAAATATATATATATTTATTTTTTTTTACATGATTTCTTCCTCAGACTTTACAATAAGGTTCAGTTTCGTAACGTTAGTTAACCACATTAAAATGAACAGTTAAAAAACGAAATGATTTATTAATCTTAGTAATGTTAAGTTTCAACATTTACACGCATTAAAGTTGCGTGGAACTGATCTAAAATTATCTTACAATGAGCTGTTGTATTTTCAAATGCCGTTTGCTCTTTATTCATCACGAATGGGCTACTATATGTAAGTTAGCTGGTACGTATCTATAACGGTGGTCTGTGGGGGAGAACAAGCTTAACGTAACACTGAGTTGTTTATAGTTCCGATTCCCTGTTTGTAAAAAGGGACGCAGATCGTTTTTCATGTTTAACGTTGTAAAATTAAATGGCTTTAGTACATCGTTTATAAAGTTTTACTAACTCTGATTTGAAGTTGAACACCAAGCTTTTGGAACGTCGAAGAAATGAGAAGGTCAAACACTTAACTTCCGTCAAGCCAATCCCCTTGAATTTCCCAACTGGTTTGGGGGAAAAAGTCACGCATCCCCTTGTCCAAGGAGCGGTATTCCAGGGTTAGTGTATCCCATCATGCATCATGTTCTGGAAATAAATCCTGAGACTTTTTGCCAAGATCGCGCGAGAGGTCACGGAAACCTTTCCAATGCAAGTTAAATATTACATTAATAATATTACATATAATTTGGTAGTAAAACAAAGTGCTAAACATTTTTATTGCTGCAAAGATTAGTATATTTTTGCACAACATTTGCAACTGCTTTTTATCACTTAATTAAATTGTGTTATCTATAGGGACTGAACAGACATTTAGAAGTTGATTTTAAAATGCAAAGTATTGAAAATAATAATTTAAAAAAAATAATACTTTGCGTTTTTACAGCACTATAAGTGTCCCATCAGGTAATGAAAAGTTGTACCCACACTTGTGGTCTGCATGCTCACTTGAGCCAAATACAGGAAATACGTCATATAAGTGGTCAAGTGCAAAGACCACAAGTGTGTGTATTTGGACAAGGCAAATGTTTCAAGAAAACAATAGTGGTGGAAATTTTGATTCTTTCAAGAGATTCGTTCAGATTCGTTCACTGATTCGTTCAGTGACCATTTCTTCATATCACATAAATACGCCAGCAGATGGCGAAAAAGTGTCTTATGTGTTATGTCTTAAAGGGGTCATACGATGCTGCTAAAAAGAACATTATTTTGTGTATTTTGGTGTAATGAAATGTGTTTATGCGGTTTAAAAAACAGTACAGTTATTTTCCACATACTGTACATTATTGTTTCTCCTCTATGCCCCGCCTTTCTGAAACGCGTCGATTTTTACAAAGCTCATCGTTCTGAAAAAGCGAGGTGTGCTCTGATTGGCCAGCTATCCAGTGCGTTGTGATTGGCCGAATACCTCAAGCGTGTGACGGAAATGTTACGCCCCTCAACATACTGTGATGGCGTGTCCGGCTGGAGCAACGAGACAAAAAACATTAAAACCCATTACAAACGAGGCATTTGTTGCATCCGGTGGGCACATAATTACTGATTATAATGACTTATACTGTCTTTTAACGCATTGTGTTGCATTGCATCGCGCCGCGTAAACATAAAACCCTGTCTGCATTTGGGATCGGAGAAATGACAAACAACAAGTGCTAACGTTACTCCACACTGCCCAAAACTCACGTTTGAATCATCAGTGGCAAATGATAAAAGTAAACGTACTTACGTGAGTCAGAACTGCCGGCATTTTAGTCTAACGTTACTCTCCCAGGATCAGTAATAAAATGTGCCGGCGATCCAAGTTGAAGTATTCCCTCAGCGACCAGCACGGATTAGCTCTAGGCATGACGAAGCGGATATCGTCCTCTTTTGGAAGGCCAAACAAAGTAGTTTCGCTTTCACAGTGGCCTAGCGTGAGCGAAAGCCCAGGCTTAGCGTGAGCTGAGGCGGCGGGGTCGAGAACGGCAGTCCCTGCAAAGGAGCGGTGAAAACGGTGAAAGCCGATCCGGCGATCCACAGCACTAAGTTGATGTATAACCTCAGTGACCAGCACGGATCAGCTCTAGGCATGACGAAGCGGATATCGTCCTCTTTTGGAAGACCAAACAAAGTAGTTTCGCTTTCACAACGAAGCACACAGCATCTTCAGGAAATGGCGGCAGCAACAATACTACAGCGAGAATAAAAGAAGCGCCTTCTTTCTTTGCGTGAACATTTGGGTGGTGTTATGCAAATCTTCCCACACAGTGACGTAGACATGTGGGGGCGTGTTCTAACGAGCCATTTTAGGTAGGCGTGGCTGACTCTTAACTTTTATAAAGAATATCTCTTTGGATTTGAGACTTTAGTCTTTGCAAATGTACAGACCTTCTTTATGCACCAAGAGGTTGTAATACTCCAAAGAGAAAGGAAAAAAATTAAAATCGCATCATATGACCCCTTTAAGTCAACGAACGTATTTACTTATTACAAAAAAATTATTTGGCTTTATTAAAATGTGTGCATGAACTCATTAAATAAATAAAGTCTAAATAAGTTGTTCAGATGACCAAAGCATTTTCTTGCATAATTAACATTTTAATTGTTTGGTCAGACGTTTACACATTCATAAATCGGGGATTAAACGTTGAGTTATGTTCTGTATGCTAAATATTAATATATAAACAAGTTTATTTGCACAGTACCTATAACTGCGCTTTGCATCCGCTTTCTGCTGATTGCTGATCGAGATTGACATGCTTAATGGCCGACTGGACACGGTACACTCTCATTCAACTCGTTCACGAAAGAGATGTACCAGTTCAGTCATTTCATTGACGAACGAGATGTACCAGTTCATTCAACTCGTTCACGAAGGTCATGCACCAGTTCATTCAACTCGTTCACGAAGGACATGTACCAGTTCAGCGGTTCTCAATTCCTGTCCTCGCGTACCCCCGCTCTGCGTGTTTGAGAAGGGTTTTCCTGCACAACCGAAAACTGGAGGACCAGTTTCAGGACCGCAGTTCTAGGACCCTGGTGGTTTAGTTTGTAGTAATGTTTGTACATGTTGTTAAATATATTGAATCTCAGGAACATTTTTTATTTCAATTGTGATTTTTGATTTATAAATGCATCAGATGTTAATTACAAAGTGTAATACCTGCTTTGAGTTAACAATTTGAAATTTAAATGAATTTACTCTTAAAATATAAATGAAAAATGTATTTCAATCCTTAAACAACTGAAAAAGTGGAGTACCTTAAGTCTTAAGTTTCTTGAAATATACTGTATATTGATTAGCCCCCTTAAGTTTCACTAGCTCATTATCAGGTATAATAAAGATGGAATCGAATGAAATCAGCATTTGTAGTCACTAAATTACAGCCATATATTTAAAAGTTTGTAGAGAGGCAAGACACAAGACTCAAGAATGATTCAAGAATGCATATTTATATACTGTATATACTCATTTTTGCAATAACACATAATACAACATCATAAAAAAAGACCCCCTCTTCCATCAGTTGCTGCATGGACAGAAAGGCTGTAGGCTTCAACTCCTGAGAGAGATAAAGAGAGAGAGAGAGAGAGGGGGGGGAGGGAGAATTAAATAAGAAACATTTGCTTTAACATGTTTAACTCTGTAATATAGATTTCTGATTTAACACTTATGCACTGTTGGGATTGTAGAGAGAGAGAAAACCAAACAGAATAATCATGTTACTGACATCTAACTCCAAATTTAAGTATATAAGAGCAAAACCCACAAACTGAATGTTCTCTCTTCTTTCCTCAATTGTTTGTCAATCTGGTAACACTTTCTATAAAGCCTGTATTTACACATTATACATTATAAGGGTTTTCTTAAGGCATTATAATTAATGCATAAAGCATTATAAAAAAGCTTAATAATATGTTGTATCATCTCATAAATAATCATAACATTTATAATACATTATAATACTTACACATTTGTGGTTATAACTTTTAAGAGTATGATTACGTATAACACACAATGAATACCATAATAAATCCACTTAATTTATAATGGATTATCTTGACATTGTTTATTTAAGATCTGGACAGTATCTTACTACATCTTGTGAGTGGTTAGGAGTGGTTTAGTGTTGTTTTGAGTGTTTCCTGTGAGGTTAATATTAAAGGGGTCATATGATGCGATTTAAAATTTTCCTTTCTCTTTGGAGTGTTACAAGCTCTTGGTGCATAAAAGAAGATCTGTAAAGTTGCACAGACTAAAGTCTCAAATCCAAAGAGATATTCTTTATAAAAGTTAAGAGTCAGCCACGCCTACCTAAAACGGCTTGTTCTAACATGCCCCCACATGTCTACATCACTATGTGAGAAGATTTGCATAACGCCGCCCAAATGTTCACGCAAAGAAAAAAGGC